AACAAAATCACTGCTATGTAGGTGTGTGTGTGTGTGTGTGTGTGTGTGTGTGTGTGTATATATATATATATATATATATATATATATATATATATATATATATATCCCCTTTACAAATAGATTCATATAGAAACACACGTGTCTGCAGTTTTGTTCTCTACACATGTATGTAGATGAATATCGTCATTTTGCTTGAAACAAATAATAGGTTTTAACACATATTTATCTGAATTTGGGTCATGCTGAATAAAGGTTCTTCTCCCATGTTTAGAAATTCGAGAACCTTTTTTAAAATAATAGAATCATAGAGTTGGAAGAGACCACAAGGGCCATCCAACCCAACCCCTTGCCATGTAGAAATACATAATCAAGACAGATGACCATCCAGCCACTAGTTAAAAACCTCCAAAGAAGGAGACATCTCCACACTCTAAGGCAGCATGTTCCACTGCTGAACATTTCTTCCTATAATGAAGTTCTTCCTAATGTTTAGGTGGAATTTCTTTTCCTATAGCTTGAGCCAATTGTTCCATATCCTAGTATCCAGAGCATCTGAAAACAAGTTTGCTCCTTCCTCAATATGATACCTTTTCGAATATTTAGATGTGGCTATCATGTCACCTCTTAACTTTCTTTTCTCCAGGCTAAACATACTCTGCTCTCTAAACTGCTCCTAGCAGGACATGGCTTCCAGACCTTTTACTACTTTGGTCACCCTCCTCTGGACATGTTCCAGCTTGTCAATATCCTTCTTGAATTGTGGTGCCCAGAATTGGGCACAATATTTCTGGTAAAGTCTGACCAAAGCAGAATAGAGTAGTACTATTATTTTCTCAATCTAGACACGATACTTCTATTGATGCAGTTTAAAATTTAAAGTTTTAAAAGAGACTTTTTTAGCTGCCACATCATAATGTTGACATATTCAACTTGTGGACTACTAAGACCCCTTTTCACATGTACTGTTGTCAAGCCAGGTTTCACCTATATCTAAGCCTCTCAAAAATGTTTATGCCTAAGAATAGTGTCTTACATTTTTCCCTGATGAAATTTGTTTTGTTAGTTTTTGTCCAACCCTAAATACTAAATGTTAAAGTCATTTTGAATTCTGATCCTGTCCTCTAGAATATTAGCTACTGCTCCTAATTTGGTGTCATCTGCAAATTTAATAAGTATGCTTTCTATTACATCATCCACATAATTTTTAAATTAAAGTATAACAAACTGTTGAATAACACTGGGCCCAGAGCGCAACCCTGTGGCACACTAGTCTCTTCTCTTCAGGATGAGGAGGAGCCATTGTTGAAGTTTCCCTTTGGGTTCTATCAGTCGATCAATTACAAATCTTCCTAACAGTAGCTTTGTCAAGCCCACATTTTACTAGTTTATTTGAAAGAATATAATAAGGGAACTCGTTGAAGGTCTTACTGAAATCAGGATACACTACATCAACAGTATTTCCTTAATCTGCCAGGCTTGTAACTCTTTTTTAAAAAAAGGTAAGATTAATCTGACATTTCTTCTTTTTGAGAAAGCCATGTTAACTTTTAGTGTTTGTGGCATTTCTTTCTAAGATCTGTTTCATGATCTTCTCTAGAGTCTTTCCTGGTATTGATGTAAGACTGACTGGGCAGTAAATGTTTGGGTCCTCTTTCCCCCCTCCTTTTTGAAGATGGGGACAATATTCACCTGCCCTTAGTCTGCTGGGACTTCTCCTATTTTCAAGGAATTCTTAAAGATTATTGCCAGTGGTTCTGAGATTACCTCTGCCAGTTCTTTCAATACTGTTGGATGTAGTTCATCTGGCCCTGAAGACCTGAATTCATTTAGAATACCCAGGTATTCTTGTATTATCTCCTTATCTATTCTGTGCTGCATCTCCCCTACTACATCATCTTCTCCATTTTTCTCTGGTTAAACAACCATTTTTCTTTTGGGAGAAGACTGAAGCAAAGAAGGTAGTAGGTCTTTTCTTTCTTCCCTGCTAGCATTTTGCCATCTTCTCCATGCTGTGGTCCTATCACCCCTTTATTTTTCCTTTTGCTATGGACATACCAAAAAAGTCCTTTTTATTGTTTACAACTTCTCTAACAAGTTTGAGTTCATTTTGTGTTTTAGCTTTTCTGACTTTCTCTCTACACATGCTGGCTATTCATTTGAATTCCTCCTTGATGACCCCCCTTTCCATTTCTTGTACATGCCCTCTTTTAAGTCTTAGTTCAATTGAACATTCCTTAAATATATATCCTAGTTTCTTTAGCCACCTCCCATTTCCCCTTCTCATCAGGACTGTTTCAAATTGTGCCTTCAATATCTGACTTTTATGAAATTGATATCCATCATAAACTCCTTTCTTTTTTAGTATTTCTGTTTATTATCTTAACATCTTATGCCAATGACCTTCAATTTATCCAAAATACCTGAGATATTTACAAGCTGTATTTTTTTCCCCTAAATTTACTGAAATCAGCATTCTTAAAGTCTAGAATGCTTGTTTGACTGTGCTTGGCTTCCACTTTTCACTGTATAACAAAGTCCAGGATAACATGGTCACTCCCACTTAAGGATCCTGCCACTTCAATTCCATTAACAAATTCATCACTTGTAGTTAGGATCAGATCTACAGTTTTGAGTATTAAAGTATCAGAGTTTTATTAGTTGTGAATCACTATGAAAATCCAAAATTCTCTCAAATTAGTAAAATATAATCCCAATATTTAGAAAATCATATTAATTGTGGATGATCCATACAGTTTGTTATAGCTGTTCTGAAATTTGTAGAATTTTACTACCATTTACAGACAAAGTATTAATAATGCCAAACTTGGGGCCTTTGCAGACTGCTAGAAATAGTGCAAATTGAGTCCACTTTAACTGCCCTGATTCAGTGCTAGGGAATCATGGGAACTTTATTTTATTGTGGCACCAGAGCTCTCTGACAGAGAAGGCTCAATGTCTCAGAAAAAAACACCAGTTCCCATAATTCCCTAGCACTAACCCTAACCCTTAAAGTGGACTCAATTTGCACTATTTCTGGCAGTCTGCAAAGGCCCTTAGTCCTCATTCCTTCTATGGAAGATATCTAGAATATAGGCATGCCTTCCCATCTAGCTTTTATTTGGTTTCTTTCTAAGTAAGAGTAGTGTGTGTGTGTGTGTAATAGTCACAATAGTTAAATATTTACTTGTTTAAATAGTTAAACTTTGGAACCGTCAATATTTAGTGTTAAATATAACACAGAGAACAAGTAAGAAACAACAAACATTGACATCACTTCAATTATCTTCTAGATAATGATTAAAGCAGGTCTCAACTTCTTATTAAAGTCAAGTAAAGAGGATGCTGAAATTGGAGGTGACTTCAGCAGCCAAAAGCTATTCAAACCCAACTGAGCATGAGTGGTGTTGAATAATGCCAACTAGATAATGAACTGGAGATAAATGATCTCAAGAGGCTATGTTTTTGGTACCAGGAGAATATGTTGATAAGCCAGATTTATTATCTTAACATCTTATGCCAATGACCTTCAATTTATCCAAAATACCTGAGATATTTACAAGCTGTTTTATTGTTGGTAGTGATATCATAGCATATTTCATTTCCCTACCTTTATTTCAGGAAGCCACTTAGCAGTGTAGTGAAATGTTCTGAGTTGTGCATTATTTCACAAGAATGTGTTTGAAAGCAGAGTTTGACTTTAGATTTCAGGCTAAAGCATTCCCAAAGGAAGAGCTTAAGGGCTATTTCAAGGAAGACCAGTTTTTTTAATTTAGGAATTGTGTTTAATTTTGTGACACTCATAAACTCTAAACTGCTTTTTCAGTTGGATGTGTATCTTATAATTAAATACAATTGTAATAGGAAAAAATAGGAAAAAACTAATTTGTTATCATTGTGTTAGTCTTAAAATAATGACCAGTGTTAATAATTCCCCCCCCCCCAACATCAGTTAATGGTTTGGACAATGGTGGTTAATAGTGTTTTGTTTTTTAAAATTAACTTATGCTTGCAAATGTCAAATGTTAAGTCTATGTCACAATACCAATATATTGTCATTTTTAACAATGCACCTGAACTGTATACACACTTTGTCCATGTGTACTTAATATAATATTTCTGTATCTCATCTCAATGTAACAATGCTACCAACTTTTTAGATACAATTTGTGAAGAAAGACACCTTTACAGTTCTGTAGTATCTGATAGTATGTATTAGCTATTTCATAAAAATTGGTTAGAACTGATCTGTTCTGTACCAGAGAGATAGGGCTGGAACCCTATCTCACTAAATGGTCAATTGGTCAAATAGTCTCTGTGTCTGTGTCTCAATAAATGTTACATGCAAAGAGTCTAAACCCAGATCTGGTTTCCTATGTGTCTTTGTTGAGAGTCCTATAGTCCAGGGTGGCTGAATTTCTCTCTGGCTCAAAAGAACAACAGAGAACTTTGGTTCATGACAAATACAGCTATGGTACCTATGTTTTCTGGGTTGTATTACTTATGTATTATGTTTTGCACAGAACAGAAAGGCAAATGAAATTCCTGAAAGTGAAATTTAAAACATGCTAACTGCCTTCCCACTTGCCATTCCAGCTGTGCCTTTTATTGTACTTTCTACAAGACTTCCGCACAACAGTTTTAGTAAAATTACTGTTAATTAGTTGTTCCAATTTTAAATATCTTAGAGTTTAATGTGTTGGAAAACATACCACTTTGATGTTTTCGAATTTCAGTTCACATAAATTAAGAACAAAACAAGGCTGGGGATTCTGTAATAAATCCTGTCATTTCTTTATTATGTGTCTTATTCATTCTCACTTGTTGATTCTCCATGATGCAAAGGGTTAGTGACCTGTACTTTTTCTTCTGTATGCTACTCAATTGCATAATCCCATAAGCTTACTGAAACTGCAGTTCTAAACACATACAGACATCAAAATCACTAAAATTTATGGACTGTTCTTTCAAGTAAATGTGTTTGGTTTGTTGTTGCTATGAGAGCCAGTGTGGTGTAGTGGTTTGAATGTTGGATGATAACTCTGGAGGCCAGGATTCAATTCCCAGTTCAGCCATGAAGCCCACTGGATGACCTTAGGCAAGTCACATGCTCTCAGCCTCTAGGGAAGGCAATAACAAACCTTTTCTGAACAAATCTTGGCAAGAAAACCCTATGATAGGTTCACCCTAGGGACACTATAAGTCAGAAATGACCTGAAATCCTTAGGATTGCCATGATAATTGAATATAAATTGTATTTGATTTTTTTCAAATTCTGCTAGTATGATATAAGAAGCAACTGTGTGTGTGTGTGAGAGTTTTTTTTAAAGTTTGCATGTCATCCAAATATATTTACTTTAAAAAAGTGGTAAATCTGAGGAGACTAAACTAGAGTACATATTATCATCTCTTCTGCATTAACCAAACACCTACAGACACTGAATATAGCAATAAGGAAAATACTGAAAGAATCATGTTCAATGAGATCTAGTAACATTTGGAACAAATATTGTATGAGATAGAAATCACTTTCTTTAGTGCTGGTATGGTCTTTTAAAAAAAAAAGAAAAAGCAAGCAATCTTAAGTTATTAAATTAATTATTAAAAATAAATAAACATGGTGTTACTAGAGGCTGTTTGAAGTCATGTTGTACTTCACTTAGTGCACTTCACCAAGAATACCAGAACATGTTGCACTGAAGTCATAAACGAATAGGTCTGCTTTTAACGTCTTCCTGGTGTCCTGGCTTGTCAGGGGAAAGCCTACAGCACAAGCATAACTAAAGTTTTCCCTTTGTAAACAGGCTCAGAGCAAGCCAAAGAATGCTCAGGACCCTGGAGAGTACATTGCAGGAGATACAGTACTCAAATATTTCCTCAGAAGGAGAGCTTGCCCTTGCAAGAGACATGGGTTTTTTTTGTTTTGTTAGCTGCCCTCAGTCGACCTCGACTTATGGTGACCCTGTGGATGAGACATGTCCAACATCCCCTAGCTTCTACTTCTCTGCTCAGGTCCTGCAGACTCAGGCCTGTGGTCTCCTTGATCCAGTCTAGCCATTTGACATGTGGTCTTCCTTTCTTTCTGCTGCCTTTCACTTTTCCTAGCATCATTGCCTTTTCTAATTAATCTTTCCCTCTCATAATGTGGCCAAAGTACAACAACTTCAATTTAGTCATCCTGGCTTCCAAGGAGAATTCAGGCTTGATCTGTTCTAGGACACATTTGTTTATAGTATTTTGTGGGTTTTTTGGGCTGTGAGGCTGTGTTCTAGAAGAATGTATTCCTGACGTTTTGCTTGCATCTGTGGCTGGCATCTTCAGAGAATGGTGGCATGGAGGTGTGAGGGATATATATACTGTGTGACATTTGTTTCTTTCCGGTCATCCATAGTATCCTCAGCACTCTTCCCCAGTAATTAAAGACTTAAGAAACCTATTTGGCCATGAATGCTAAAAAGTTTCTTTCCACTCCCGATTCTAGCTGAAGCCCTCAAAGCAGGGATGGGCAGCTATTTTACATCCAGGGATTATGTTCCCCCATCATCCTCTCAGACTGAATGTACACTGCAGAATTAATGCAATTTCACATTGCTTTAACTGCCATGGCTCTGTACTATGGAATTCTGGGATTTATAGTTTTGTGAGCTATTTCATCTTCTCTGTCAGAGCATTCTGGTGCCACAACAAACTACAAATCCCAGGTTTCCATAGGATGGAGCCATGACAGTTAAAGCAGTGCCAAACTGCATTAATTTTGCAATGTGGCAGCAGCCTGCCTCATTATTTATTAACTTTTAAAAATTTACTCAACATGCCAAAGAGGCACTGGGGCAATGTTTGCCATCCCCCCCGCCCCATGACTATTTTAGGTCCAGAAGAGGCTTTTATTAACAACAGGAAGAAATTTTGACCTGGGAAGCCCAACAACCTGCCAAAATTATCCTCCTTTCTCCTAGAGAATATGGTCATTTTGAGTAAATAAGAAATCCAAAGGGTTAGCGCCCTTGGAGGCCTCAGGACCAGCGTAGGGGGCCAACTTGCCTCAAGAAGGGCATAGTTATTTTTCTAGTCACATGCTCTTGCATGGCTGAATGATGGAAGAGGTTGTGGAGGAATAATCCTCAAAGCCTGAGGTTGAAAAGAAATCTCTATCACCAAGCCTGGAAGTTGACAACAGTTTTTTTCCTGAAATGCTATTACCACTGCCAGGTTGTGGCAGTGGTGGTGGTGGTGATGATGATGTGTTTATACTCCACTCTTCAGCCAAAAGGCTATAAGAGCAGCTTACAAATGGTTAATTAGACATTTCCCTGCCCTCAGGCTTACAATCTAAAAAGACATGACATAAAAGGAGAAGGGAATGGCAGTGGGGAAGGGGATCAGGTTCAGCAGATCTCCTCTCCCTCTAAAGCCTGGACCAAGGCAGATGGACTGGAGGAAGAGCCGTTCTTCTTACTGTGGCTAGGCCCAATGCCTGCCTTCTCTCCCTCAATGATGGTGGATGGAGGGAGGGCCTCTAACACTCTAGATCAGGGGTAGGCAACCTTTCCCCTTGAAGGGCCGAGGGACTTCAGCTCCCAGAAGCCTCAGACATGTTGGCCAATAGTCCCATGTTGGCCAATAGCTCCTGGGATTCTGGGAGCTGAAGTCCCTCAGCCCTTAAAGGGGAAAGGTTGCCTACCCCTGCTCTAGATAATGTTGGTTGCCCTCTGAGTAACCTCTGAGCCTAAAAACAGGACATAATTCCTCTTCCTAGTACATCCTTCCCCATCCAGTCTGCACCTGTTTTGGTTGGGCACCATTGGTTAAATTTCTGGATGTTCCAGGATGCATGGACATATGTGGAGGATTTCCATGACTCCTTGCCTGGGCTGAGGACTTTCTAGTCAAACATGTTGTGGACTGTCCTCTACAGAACTGGAGTCTAAAACTGAAACTTGACAGACCCACCTTTTTGGATTAATAGTGTGAGTGCTTGGTTCCACAACGAATCCACTGTGGAGGAAACAAGAAAGACATGGTGAAAAGCTGGATGGATTTTCATTGTGTTAGAGAGCCAAAGATGGAAAACACTACAATAGATTTTCTTCATTATGGGAAAGGTCCCAGTTTCTAAGTAAAGTGGGCAGTTTTAAGGAAGCAAACCACTGCCCTTTAAATGTCTGCAAATAAATGATGCAGAATTGTCTGATGCAGAATCAGTTCAAGTGTGCAGAAGCAGAGCTGTACTTGTGATGCTATTGTGCACGGTTGTTTGTTACATCTCAGTGCACACATACATTGTGTACCTATGCACACCAATATACTTTGTTCATCATTGCACATCATGCATAGTGCATCAGTGGATGTCACACATTCAGCTTTGGGCATGCAGATGTGTGTTGTGCATTTGATTGCACATTCAGTTGCACAACATCACAACTGACTAAGGGCCTTTACAGACTGCCAGAAATAATGCAGCTTAAGACCACTTTAACTGTCCTGGCTCAGTACTAAGGAATCATGGCAACTGTAGTTTATTGTGGCCTCAGAGCTCTCTGAGAGAGAAGGCTCAATGTCTCAGAAAAAAACTACAGTTCCCAATATTCCCTAGCACTGAGCTAGGATAGTCAAAGTGGTCTCAAGCTGCATTATTTCTGGCAGTCTGTAAAGGCCCTTAGTCACAAAGTCTTCTTGTCGTCTTGATTGAGGACCTCATCCATATATTTTAATCACTTTCTTCTTACAACAATATCAGTTGTTATTATATAATATTATAACAATATCAGTTGTTATAATATATGGTTATTATAACTTGGATATATAAACCGCTCATCACAAAGCAAATACTACAGATAGAATCAAACTTCTTGACATTATTATTTTTATTGTGTGCCTTCAAGTTGTTTCTGATTTATGGCAACACTACAGTGACCCTATCATAGGGTTTCTTGGCAAGTTTCTTCATAGGAGATTTGCCTTCTCCCTCCTCTCAGGCTGAGAAAGTATGACTTGCCCAGAGTCACCCATTGGGTTTCCATAGCAGAGTGGAGATTGGAAACATGGTCTCCAGGGTTGTAGTCCAATGTTCAAAACACTGCACCACACTGGCTCCTTTCTTGACATTACCTCTAACCAATATAATAGTTTTTAATGGAGGTTCAAATGTTTTGGTACAAATGGTTGAATAAAATACTTGGCTTTATGCACAATCCAGAAGTGAAAAATTCTGATATTGTTGCTGCTGCTGCTGTTCTGTATATATGCAGATCAATTAGGACTCAAACAGAAAACATTTTATGCAATACCTAGCACACATTCATAAGTAGTCATGCACACAAACCTATTAAGTCACTTAGACCAATAATTAGTCATTTTCATGTCCTGATAATCAGCAGGAAGTCAATACTTGGCCTTCTTGCACTTTTGGAGAAGGGCAGTACATGCTTTTAAATTTGTTTTTCCAAGGGCTACTAGCAAATAAATGAACTTGACTCAGCTGCTATGATGAATTAATATGCGCACTGACAACTTATAACCATAATATTGCTTGGGGGAATTATCTATGCGAATATATACATACAATTATATGTTTTAATGATTTATTTAATTTTCTGAATAGTATACCACTTAAATGGGAATTGATAAAAACAGGGAACACAAATATAAAGTTATATCAACTTTGTCTTGAACCTATTAGGATGAGGCATGTTTTAATGAGAAAATTAATGTATTAAGCAGTTCATTATGGATGAGCATTATTTCTCGTTGTTAAGAATTTATTGCTTCAGACCTGTCATAGGCACTCTAATTATGATTAATACCCTATCTTGAATTCTGCTGCCATTCACATATCAGGAACAAATGCAAACTTCTATTTTACTCCCAGGGTTCACAAAAACAGGGTGATTTATTGGTGTGCTCATATTTTATTCATTTTGACATTTATATTTAGTAGATTTTTTAAAATGTGCCATTGTATCAGAAATACATTTTGTTCATAAATATCTAGATTCCTTTCAATCCATGGTTGTGTATTCAGTAGAAAGAAAGCAATTCAACAATTATATTACTGTTTTCTAAATATAGTAACTAC